GGGAAAATCATTGGTGTATGACTAACAAAAGAGAAAAGAAGCAGAGCACAAGCTTATATGTATAATCTTATAAAAAAAGAGGGAAACCCTTATGACTGCATCTGAAGAAGATACAGGTCATCACAGATTTGTCGATGAATAACTATGGAGCATAAATTAACGCGTTCTGAAGAGACCATAATTCACCGGCACGATATGGACTTTGTTCACGACAATAACATTTCAACGATAAATAATTTTGTGACACAACATTAACATCATTAGTATCGTCGGGGTGATGTTTCGGACAACATAACTCGCTTTGAGTCAATGCCCCAATTGTACCAGCCAGAAAAATGAGGTTGAATGTTAATCAATAATGCTAATATTGACCATTTAATTAAGTCATAATCTTTAATTTGATCGAGTTACTTGTTCATAACACCCCAAGAATACAGTTCATTACCCGATCTAAAAATTAATTCGAAATTTTCTTTAATTTTTACGTACATGTGTGAATTAGTTGATGGTAATTGCTCTAATTCAATTAATATCACGAATGCTGATAAACGTCGAGGTATACTTTGAATTTGAATTAATGCCAAGTTACCAGTTGACCGTTCAGATTCAGTATCAATAGTGTATTGCGTGCATTCTTGTACGTGATGGATCAGCAATTGCATGTCTTCCATTGATGTCTATTTGTTCACATGTACCACTTTATAATTCGATGTTGGTATTGTAAATGGTGGATATTGTTGTTGTAAATGATATTGAAGATGTTGATCTGACATACTAATAACTAAAGTAACAAAATTAAACAAGTTGATATAAAATAAGTGAAGAGAAAAAAAAATAACATAAATAAGGTAAACAAATGGGTCATATAATTTATCATTCGTTCAGAGGAATAAACCTGTCAAGATTGCACACATAGATATCGTTAGTATATTAATAAACTATGTAATATATGTAAAGTCAAAACATAAATAATATTGTTTGTGGAAAACAGAAATACTTCTTCAAGAGATGATTTCCTGTGTAAAATTTATTTGTATTCGTAATAACTAATATTTGCCAATGCTAATCATATGCAAATGATAACTATATTGATAATTAATGCGCGCTAATTAAAATATCAATATGTTCGTCAGCATAACGAATCGATGTTAGTTCAAATAAGTCGTTACGCATACAACAATGATGATCAAACAACAAATCACCATCAACATAGCATAACATTAACATTTAATGATCATTAGCAAATAACTAAACAATAATATACCACATTGATTTTGAAATAAGAATAGGTCGAATATCATTAACATGTATTCTGGATTCGACCTATGTTTGTTCATCTTTGACCCAATAAATTGGATGTTGTTTCCTAATAATTATTTTTGGTGTAATCGAATATTTTCGTTCTAATTTATTTCGTATTCCATGAATTTTAATCAATACTAGATCATTGAGTTCATAATGTTGATCTCGACGTTGTTTATCATAATTTATTTTGTGTTGTCGTTGTCGACAAATAATATTATCACGTACGTGTTATTGCATTAGCAAAAGATTTTTTTTAATTGTATTGGGTTGGAACATAAGTTCTAAGAATTCTTTTCTCGTCCAGCAACAAATTTATTTCGAAACAAAAATATGCAAGATCAATCAACAATATAATCGCCATTATTATCGACAAACTTTTTCCATCTCACTGACAATTGTTCAATCCCAAGTTTGTAGAAATTAGCCGGCCGTGATTCGAAAAAAGCAGTAAGGCCGGACTGTGGCTCATCGAAGTTTTCGTATTGTTTGCCGCACAAATGATTTCGAAGGGATCGAAATAAGTGATAATCTGATGGTGCAAGATCTGGTGAGTATGGTGGGTGCTCAAGAACTTCCCATTCGAACTTTGTAATCTTTTCCTGAGTCAACCGTACGACATGTGACCTTCCATTGTCGTGCAAGAGAATGATATTATTCCGAGTTCGAGAAATCCGTCGCTTTCGAAGTAGAACTTCACGCATGTGCTGCAACTGTTGGCAGTAAAGATCGGCGGTAATCGTTTGATTGGTTACTAACAGCTCGACATATATGACACCCTCCATATCCCACCAGATGCACAACATTATCTTCTCTGGATGTGAATCTGCTTTAACGTCGGGAAACGGTTGTTGACCGGGATCGAGCCACTGTTTTCTGCGACGAACGTTAATGTAGCGAGCCCACTTCTCATCTCCAGTAACGATTCGTTTCAAAAATGGGTCATGGTTCTGTCGGGACAACAGCGAACAACAGATTTATACTCGCTTAGCCAAGTCGACGGTGGATAATTGCCATGGAACACTATCTCCGTACTTATTGACCTTGCCTAGAGCATGAAGACGATGATTTACTGTCATGTGAGAACAATTGAGCTGTGTGGCTAATTCTCGAGTTGTTTGAGGTGGATTAACATGGAGCAAATCATCCAACGCTTGGTCATCAAACTCCACTGGTCTACCTGAGCGAGACTTGTCCGTCAAGGTAGTGTCTCCGGATTCAAACTTGGCAAACCAACGGTCGCACGTGGAATCGTCGACGGCTCCGTCACCATATGTGGCACAAATATTCCGTGTTGCTTCCGCTGCGGTTGAGTTTCGATTAAACTCGTACAGCATACAATGGCGAAGGTGAAGTTTTTGGTTATCCATTTTATTTAAAACAAGTAAACGATATCTTCTCTATTTATGTTCTATCACGTCAATAAACTTCAAATTGACCTTGATTGACCCTTCAATTTTTCAGACGCAATTCAACACATGAAATGTCTTATTCAAGTTGTGACGCAATGTTCGAAAAAAAATAAGTGGATTTTGCAAGTATTCGAAATTCTCAGAACTTATGTTCCAAGCCAATACATAATAATCATTTGGTTTATTGAAAATAAATGATGATGATGGTTCATCAGTAGGTATACGTGGTTCTCGACCAAACTGAAGTTGAAATGGTAAATAATTAGTTGTTACATGAGCGCCTGTATTGTAAGCAAATGTTACTGGTGATAAGAATTCATCCCAATTGTTATTTTCTCGATCTTGAAGTTTGGCGATTTGAGAGACGAATGTTGCATTAAAACTTTCAATCATCCCATTACTGTGTGAGTGATAAACACTTGAAAAACTATGATTATAAGCAATTAATTTTGCCATAGATTCCATAAGTTGATTTTTGAAATGATTACCTTGGTCAGATAATATAGTTAATGGTACACCATATTGACAAATATAATTATTAAGTAATGCTTGAGCTGTGGTTTGTGCTGAACAATCAGGTAAAGCTATTGCAGTTATCCATCTTGTAAAACAATCAGTAATACATAATACATATTGATTACCACGAGGTGTTGGTTTGAACGGATCACAATAATCAATACCTATTAATTGAAATGGTTCGTCTAGAGTTGGAATCGAACTAAGTCGACCTGGTTTTTTTTGTACGACTAATATTATGTTGTTGACAAGATAAACAAGATGGTATGATGGAAAAAGGCAGAAAGGAAAAATATCGAAAGGGAAAAATGTCGAAAATAAAAATATCGAAATCAAAAATAAGACAAATGAAGATGGATAGAAATGCTGAAAACGAGAGTATATCGAAGTACAAGTCTCCCTCACCCTCAATTCAATCTTACATGCTCATTTTTATCTCATATTCTTGTTTTCGATATTTTTCCCTTTCGACATTTTCCCTTTCTGCCTTTTTCCATCCATTCGAGATTTATTTGAATGTTCAATTTTTTCTTTGCTTGACGACGATGGTATATCATTTATAGTGGGTGGTGTAATTTTTTCATTCTTCTTCTGTTGTTGTTTTATTTGCTTCATTTTTAAACGTGTTATAATAGTGCCAATAACTTGAGTATTATTACTAGGAATAGATACTTTTCCTGATGGTTTCCTTTGAAATAACATACTGATACCATAATCCTCATCAAAAATTTCTTCATTATGTTGTATTGAATGACGAGATAAATAATCGGCTAAGCCATTGTTTTGACCTTTAATATGAATAATTTTTTCAATATTATATTCTTGTAATAATATAGATATACGATCTACTCGACGATTCTTCACTGCTGAATTCATCATATTACATAAAGGACAATGGTCTGTCTAAATTATAATTGAACGATTAAGTAGATAAGATCTGATACGTTGAAAATATAACCAGATAGCTAAAGCTTCTAATTCAATCGGATCATAGCATCGTTGAGTGGAGAATGTAACTTGGGAATGATAGTATAAATGTTTTATTTCACCATTGGTGATTTGTTGCAATATACCACCAATACCTACTTTGGAAGTATCAATTGTTAAAATAACGGGATATTTATCATTTGGAAAATCAAGAAATAACGGAGAGATCATCAGAAAGTGTTTTAATTGTAAAAATGCTCGTTTCTGGGAGTCTTCTCAAATAAATTGTTTTCTATTCGGTTTGGTGAGGTTGGTAATTTTATGAATAGATGCAGCAATGGTTACAAATTGTAGTATAAATTTACGATACTAGGAAAGAGCACCTAAAAATTTATTTGCTTCAGCTAATGTATCGATGGTTCCCGTAGTTTAATAATAGCTTGAATTTTTTCATCAGCCTGTTTAACACCATGTTCAGTTATCGTATGAGATAAATAATCAATTTGTTGATGAAAAATACTACATTTGGTGAGGTTAATTTGAAAATTATGTTTGGATAAGGCAGATAATACTTGTGTAAGATGATTGAGATGTTCTTCAAATGAACGAGAATACACCATGATATCTTCAATATAAACCAACGAGAATTGCCGACATGTAGATAAGATATCAGTCATTACTCGTTGAAAAGAGGGTGGGCTATTCTTGAGACCTTAAGCCAGCACATTCCATTCGAAGAAACCATCTGGAGAAATAAGTGCAGTTGTAAATTTGTCTTCTTCCTTAATTGGAATTTGGCAAAACCCACTCTTCATATCAAGTTTGGAAAAAATTTAAAACCTCCACCTAATAATTGTATTGCTTGTTCCACATTGGGTAGGGAATGATTATCCTCGAGAGTAATATTGTTTAATTTTTTATAATCAACTACCATTTTCCATGTACCATCTTTCTTAGCGACCAGTAATGCTGGTGCTGCATATGGAGAATCAGATGGACGAATTAATCCAAAATGCAATAATTCTTGCACTATCTTATACATTTCTTCTTGTTTACTTGAAGTAGAATAATACGGTTTGGATACTGGTGAAGAATGATCAAGTGTTTTAATAGCATGAGGTTTCACATTAGTAGCAATTGTTAATTTACTAGTGTCTAATAATTTTGCATATTGATTAAGAATAATTTTGACTCTATCTTGTTATTCGAGAGTATTAATATGTTGAGTTAAATCATTAATATTCTTATGTAATGATTGATAATCAGTAATTGAATTTCTTTTAAAAGATAATGTGGGAATAGTTGTTGTTCCCAAAATAATTCCTTTTGATAATGAACATGAGTAAATTGTTAGATTATGAATTGAAATAAATGAAGTATGATGATGAATAGTTAATGAAGAATTTAACAAAAATATCGGCGATCGTTGTTGTAATTTAAAAGAAGGACGAAATAAAACTTGAGCCGATGATAATGCAACAGATACAGGAACTGACATAGTTCGATTTGGTAGAATTCGAACATTATTAATAAAACGTGCTGGATATTTCATATCGTTCTTATTAATATCAAATTTTTATGTTGTACATTTATAATTATCACTAATTGAAACCATTTGTTCTTCCGTATTAATAATTAATTTATACTTATTAATGAAATCGATACCTAAAATACAATCAGCACATAATTCTTTAACAATAAATGCTTTAATAGAAGTTAGCATATCTCCCATGTTAAGAGATAAATGTACTGTGTCAAGAATAGAAAGAGATGTATAACGATCAGCTAAAATTACACGACGATATGATTTATTAATAAGTTGTGCGCTATATGCTAGATGTAATGCATTAATAGAAATAAAAGTTCGATTGGCACCTGTATCAAGCATCGCCTTCATAACTTTGTTGTTTACAATAAGATTAAGATATATTAGAGATGTGCTGAATGTTGATGGATTATCATATAAACTACTGGAAACAACACCATCGTTCATTGTTTCCTTTACCCGAAATGGGTACGAGTACAATCCCGTGCATAATGACCGGGAGTACCACACTTATGACAACGATCTGGTTGCTGAGAATGAGGTGAATATCTTGAAGGATCATAATATCGAATTTGTTGATTCCCTATTCGTGTAGTATGTGAATGATTTGGGCGAAATTGTTGAGGTGTTGGTTGTTGAAATGTGTTTGTTGAAATTTTTTAAATGACTTTCGGTGAATAAATGGTTCTATTAATGGTTTTGGATATGTAATAGCATTTATTGTAATATGATTTAGATGCATCTCATTATTTGAACTTGTAAGCGATAATGTATCTTCTACTTTCCGAGCAGTCGATAAAAATACATCAGTTGTCTTTGGATCTTGTAAAGCAACATGCAGTTTTAATAAATCTTTAATACCAGCCATTAAATATTTTTATTTGAATGAATCAGGCATAGCAGAATCGAGTTTTTACATAATTCTATAATTTTATCTTGAGGTTGAGTAATAGATTGATTAACTGTTTGTTTATACCATTAAAAACCTAGTCATGGGTCACTTTTGATGGACAAAATTGAGTGTGTACAGCTAGCAATAAGCCACTATTACGTATCTCCTCTACTACTTTAAACATATTCCTACATAAACAAAAATAACTAGTTAGGGAACCGCATTTATGACAAATCGAGTCACTGACACCTTATGTAATTTAATTCCTAAATGTTTCAGATAAGCACTTTAGAATGTCACATAACCAATGAATGCAAAATCAGAGAAAAGTATCGGATTACAACTTCAATGGCGCTAAGAGAGGAAAATTATAGTCAGAAGAGGTGTATTAAGTCGTAATTATCTTGAATTAATGTCCGCTGGAAGTACCAAAGTATTTGAAACTGGGATCTTCAAATGTTTGATGAAATATATCATAATTTTTGAAAATTGTCTCTTGTGCAATAACACTTCCGATGCTGTAATATTTGAAGATCACATTATCTTAATCTTAATCTGATTCGGAGTCGGAGTCGGAGTCGGATTCGAGCAGAGAGTTCAAAGTTCAATTGAAAATATTGATAGCGTTATTTTGTTCAGCTGCTTGTATAGCACGATCGTCGGGATGAGCTGCAACTGTCCATAAATTTAGGACCCAACCTACGAGAAGAATATATTGACGATGAGTTGTGAATTTTTTATTCGCTGAACTTACCAATATCTGCAGGGCAGACCAAGCATCTTAAACGTTGTTGTTGATTGTTTAATGTAGTTACAAGTGTCCGAAGACAGTCTTGATGATACTCTCCGTTACAAGAAGGGCACGTTAACCGTGTCGCATTCGGTCCTATGTACTGCTCACAAAAATGGCATTGCCTAGAAAAGGATATCAACAAACTTGTTTGAAAATAATGTTAGGAATGCTTTGAATGTTTACATACGGTATTGGTTGTGGGTGTATGCGTGTGGACGTGGATG